TCCAACAAGTTTTTTTTTTTTAACATTTGTGGCAGAAGTCAGAAAATATTTCCCCTAAAACCTAGCTAAAACTGCTCAAAATGTTCTCACCTATTTTTACCTTATTATTTTCACAACTGTTATATTAAAACATACAGATTCTAATTCAAATTATTATATTAATATATAAATATATTATTATTGCTATCTGTTACATACATTTCTTTCGAGACGATTAATCAACTTCGCGAGCTCGAATTTCCATAAACCGATCGCTTTGAAGGTGCAGACCGTTTAAACTGTATCGCTTATAGTTAATCGCCCCCCCTCCCCCTCGAGTTTCCCCAACTTTCGTTGGTCACAGATTTCGGAAGTAAAAACAAACGAGAGGTTAATCAAATACGAACGCTTTTCAGCGCTCGACTAAAAAAAGACCACAAATCACAGGGTCGTATGCAAAGACTTATGAAGGGGGGAATGGAGATGAGGGGCTTGGGGAGGGGGATAAGTGTTGGCAGTGCCGCGGAATAACGGTGTTATTAAGTCGACACATAATCGCATTATTAGCGTGGCCAACTGGAGCCCACAAAAGGCGAACCCGCCGACTTACCAACTTCTCTTGCGTCACGAACCTCATTGCTGGGCAACTTGGTTGGTGGGCTAATTAGCGGGTAAACTGGCGATCTCCGCTCTCGATTATATAACATAATATAATGCCTTTGGTGAGTGATACTCTGGGTTGGGTTCCCCGCATCGCGACAGCATCATTGTCAGCCAGCCTCTGTGTCAACATTTTGGGCAACTGGGAGGAGATTTATTCGGATTGCATTTCCCAACGAAGGGCCACCGATCTTTGCTTTTCTTTTTTATTTTGGAAGTCTTGCACAGCATTGGGGAACAATTTGGGAAAACGGGAGAAGAAAGTAGAACATATTTACTAAATTTGCTTGCTTAACTTCCTTCACCATTTTTGTTTGAATAACGTTTGAAATATTGGTCAAAATTTATTATCAGAAAGAGAGTATTCAGTTCGCTTTAGAGAGGAATTATTAAATAATACATTTTAGAAGCTTTGGCATATGATTAGTGGAATTAAAATAGACTTATTGGTTTCTGATACATATGTTGAACCTATTTATATATCTTAGGATATCTTATATGCAATGCTAAAAGAAAATTATGATTTCTTTGCAGTTTTCTGGGCAATGTTTAAAGTAATGGTGGAAATTTCAAAGGAGAAGAAAGAAGCTATTTAATTCGCTTTAGAGATAAAATGATACTCATTTTAGCTTTGATTTATTATTGGGAATAGACTTCTTGGTTTCTGGTACATATGTTTCACATATACATACTATATATCCTACGATATCTTATATGAGAATGGTTAGAGATTGCGGCACGTCCTGAAGCGAGTAATTAAAAACGGACGGTGACTTCAGCATCTCCGTTTCGCTGACCAGTGGCTTTAATAAATCCGCTGATTGCACCTAATCGATCTCATCCAGCTGGAGAAGATTGCGAAGAGGGGGATCCAGGGGAGTTGGATGTGTACTGCACGTTCTAGATTCCCCGGCGAACTTTCTTGGCCCCGGAAAATGGGGAGCGTGCTGGATCAGCGAAGATGCCATCACGTTCCCAATTCGGGTTCGATGACCACTCATGTGCGATCCATAAAACAAACAAAACACACAAAAACTCAACATCGAGATGGAGATGAAGATCGAGACAATAAGAACTGCTGAATGGGATGGGTTGTCTGACCCACAAAGATAGTACAATTGTTGTTGCTGTTATTGTCGGTTTCCCCCGTTTTCCCCAAGCGCAGAAAACATTGTAATTTAACTGTAATTTGATTTCAATAATTTAATTACACTTTTCGTGTGGCCCGCATTGTGCGTCTTTATTGCCGGCAGTCAGCGGCAGTGGTAAATTACTTTAATTTCTTTCAACCAGCGCTCATCCGCTGCAGTTTCGTCCGCCGTAAATCCATCCAAACGGACAACGGACAACGGACAAACGGACGGACAGACAAACGGACGGACAGACGGACAAGCATTAATTTCGAATTTTAATTAACTCGCGCTGGCAAAACAAAGAAAACCGAGGCACATATGAAATAACACACAATGCCAAAGCCAGCCGAAAAGAAAGTTTTAGCGGTCACTTAGAAATTACACTCCAAATTTAACTCTTGTTTTTGCTACGTGTGTGCGTGTGTGTGTGTGCTGGTGTGTGTGTGTGAATTTACGAGAATTCTCGCTGCAAGTTGGCTGCTATAAGAAACTGGAGCATCTAGAGTCCGACTCGGGCCATCTGACCCAGTTGTGAGCCGGGTTCCAGTCCAGTCCCATACCCATACCCATAGCCATACCCATAGCCATACCCATATCCATACCCATTTGAGCCGCTAAACACGACACTCGTCCCCGTTTTTGGCTGACAGCAACAGACTTTGCGATCGCATCCAGACAGCCAGATAGCCAGACAGCCAAATGGTCAGACGGGTCGCCAAAGAGCCTCTGGCTGGGATCAGCCACTCCGATCTGGGTGATCCTCGTCCCCAGGCAATCTAGATCTGGATCTGGATTCCATGTCCGCTGCTCTACGATAATTGCCACTGAGCTTCTCGTTGCACCCACGACAAATGCGGATTCACTTGTGGAATTCCGCAATTCAGGAATTTGCAACTTGTCCCAAAAAAAATTGAGTGGTAAATTCATGCTACTCAATTAATCTCTTCTTTTACTGATTGGTGTATTTATTTCTTAAAATTTTGTTTTGGGTAATTCAAAATAAAGTACAAGATTAATTCCTAAACAAACAAATATGCTAAGCCATTGTGACAATACATTATATATTGTATTATAACAATACATGTTGGTCTAAGTTTTGTAGTTTTTTTTTTTTTTGAATAATTGTATTGCAACAATATAAACATTCTCCACCAAAAAAATCCCCATGCAATTGCATTCATCATATGCAACCACTTTAAAAATGCAGAGTAGCATGGAAATTTTGACTGGCGCAAGGCGAACATTTTGGAAATACACCCTTAGTTTTTTGAGCATTCCATTTTTGAGGTTTTCTTGACCGCACTTAAGAAATCTATAAAAATAAACACAGAGAAGAGCGAAAATCATGCATAATTTATGAACTAAAACCGCTGTTATGTTTTGATTCCCGTTGGACTGGCGTGAAATATTGATTGAACTCGATCTGAGCCGTCAGTCAGTGAGGAACGCAGACGTTGGCCAAAAGAAACGCTGTCGAGTGACTAATCGAGTCTCTCAATCAATCTGAGAGGCTCTGAAAGTGATAAGTCATACAGACACACATCACCTTTAAAACCATCGATCCACTTTTCCTCTCTTTCATAAAAATGGCTCTTTGTTGCCTTTTTGATTCGCTAAAACAAAAGAAAAACAATCTTCATTTACAACCAGTTGGGTGTAATGAGTTTGTTTATGTTTACCGTTTGGTTTTCCAACCAAACTGCAGTGGTTTTTCACGTTACTGGCCAAAATTTGTTGAACAATGCGCATAATTTTTCAGATATGGCAAGTTGATTGATTGGTGAAAGATTTCCGCTTTCATAAACAACAACTTTTACTAATCTCTTCTCGCATGAGCGTGCAAAATGCATTTGCGGGGGGCGTTGGGTGGCAAATCGCTATCTATATCTTTGCTATCCAAATATATACTTATATATAGATGTGTATGCCTGCGTGTCTGTGGGGGCGTGCAAAGAAAAAGAAAGCAATTGCAACAAATTGCACCAAATAATTGAATGCAAGCAATAAAAGTGAAAAATCGCCAGTGCCAAACACTTTCGTTGCCAAAAACGCACCGATTCCTCCACCGATCCCCGCCAGCTGTCACCGGTCAATATGGGAGCATAAATCATCTGCCACGCCCCCGTCCCCCATCCCCATAACCCCGCCTCCCGTGGCAACTGGTCCCGCTGGCCAGCAATTGCAACTGGTTGCCAGCGAGCTGGCCAAAAAGGCGCCCAGCAACTTTCACATGCCATTGACATGGCCAAGCGAAATATGCGAGTTGCGCCTCGCAAGTCAATTAACAAATTGCAGTCGAATGAGAGGCTGCGATCCCCGGCAATATGAGTAGTGCAAAATATCCACAATACGTACATATTGTACAGTGCACAATGCACCGAGAGGAATAATTGTTATCGCCGGCCAGAAATCGACTTTCGAAAGCCATTTTCAACACTCTGAATCGCGAGCCTCTCTCGCTCGAATTAATGACTTCCCAATAAAACGTCCTCGTTAAAAGCAACAGCATTAATTAAGTGCTGATTATATTTTTGCTCTTCTTGCGAACCAATTAACTGGATTACCAGTAATGTGATTCACAGAAGTTTTTCATTTTGGAAATATTAACACAATACAAATTATATGTATTTTGGAAAAGCATTATATGTTGCTTTAAAACATTTTACCCATAAACCAAGAATAGCTAATTCTCCCCAATCAATTGAGCAGATTTCTTTTAAATTATTTTGGGATGAATTTGTTATAAAAATTGCAAGCAACGCAAAAAAATATCAAGCACAAAGCACATTATAAAATAGAATAATGAAAACAATCGTAGCAAAGTATTTTTAAAATTTTTATTTCAATTATAGGTTAGCCTTTAAATATTTATTTTCTATTTTGTCAGTGTAGTTCATGCAGCCTTTCAATAAGTTGGAAAGTCATTTCTTTACAATTTAGTTTTAGCCATGTCTTGCAAAATGATTTAGCAAGTGTTAAGAAGCGGAGGTGATTACCATTATTTTGGATTATGACACAGCTCCATTAAACCAAAAACCACAGAACCATTAAGAAGCAATATAGAGAAAATTAATGTATAAATATATTTTAATTTAGGTAATAATTTGTGTGTAGTGTAAATAATTGTATTTCTCTAAAGCAATTAAAACTCTATTCAATGGTTTTCATAACTCATAAAAATAAATAGTGATGGCAATTACTTATTTTCTAACCTTCTCTCTGTTGCAGTCACAATCGAAGGGCTCCACCCTTTCCTCGGGAGCCCGTGCCGCCGCGCAGACCTTGAATGTGCCGCTGGAGCGCCTGGAGTCCCGCCAAGCGCACGCCCAGCGGACGGAGCACGGCGTGGACGGAGGATCCCGCCAGAACGAGTCGCTGCAGCAGCAGGCGCAGCAGTCGGAGCTGCATCACCACCTGCAACAGCAGCAGCACCACCACAACCACCACCACCAGCAACAGCAGCAGCAGCAGCTGGAGGATGCCCTCGAGGAGCAGCAGATGGCCTCCGATCACCAGCAGCAGCAGCAGCAGCAACAGCAACAGGGTCAGCAGCAGCGGTTCCTCAAGCAGCAGAGCTACCTGCACTCCGCCCGCAAATCCACCGCCGGCCAACAGCCATCCTCGCTGACCAACGGCCAGTCGCACCAGCAGGAGCAGATCCTGCAGCACCAGCAGTCGCAGCAGTCGCAGTCCCTGCCGCACCACGACCTGGATGCCAACTACCTGCAGGAGGAGGGCAACGGGGGCACCCCGCCCTCCGTCACCAAGTACTCGCTGCTCCAGTTCGCCATGCAGCACTTCCGCAACGAGTGAGTTGATTGACTTAAATGATTTAAATAATTTATTGGGGGATTTTCAATTATATTAAGACCCATTTGAGCACACTATATAGCTTATATGTAAGCTATTTATTCTACTGCTTATGGAATTTAAATTAAAACAACATTCATCAAGTACTCGCTGCTCCAGTTTGCCATGCAGCACTTCCTACAAAAGTTTTGATTACCTAGTGAATATATGAAGAGGAATTTATATTTGGTCAGCATTTAAAACAGTAGTCCTGCAAATATATTTTTTAAATATACAAAGGTATTATAATCCAGTTTAAAAATGCTCCCAACAAACTTAAAAGTTATATCCGAGTATGTAAGCTGCTGCACTGAAGGATTCAGAATGAATTTTTTGTTTTATTATACCTAAAGGACCTCTACAAATTGTTAAAAATGTTTAGTTAAAGGTTACCATTTTTAAATCGTTTTAAAATATTGGTTCATAAAATGTAAAAGTCTAAAATAATGATTTTTTTTACAGCCAACTGAGGGACGCTGACCGGCACCACGAGCGGCACCAGTCGGCGGCGAACCGCTCGTACGCGGAGCTGGTGAAGTGGCAGGGACACGCCATCCGCCTGCCGCTCCTGCGGCTCCCGAACGACTTGGCGCCTCTGGCGCTCGAGTGCTTCGACTGCATCCTGCGCTACTGCGGCGACATCCCACTGGACCCCGACCTCACCGAGGTCAAGTGCGTCTACACCGTGCTCATGGTGAGTGTGCTCCTGGCTTGCCTTTGGGTTTCTGTCGGGTTGGTCTTGGGTTTGGTTTTGGGCTGGGGTTCCACTCGAACCGGTTGGAGTTGGTGGCTCCGAGGTGGTCCGCAAAAACCTGGAACTGGTTTGGGGATCGCTGCCTGTTTGGATGCCCTAGAAATTTGGAATTCACACCAGAACCAGAAACGGAAACAAATTGTGGACACCCCGGAGTCATAAAACCGCTGGAGAATAAAGTTGCTGATCGTTTCGCAAGTCTGAAAGAATTTAATGTGTCGAAAGTAGATCGCAGATCATGCCACTTATGTGGCAACACTGTATGCTAGTATGCAAAAGTGGGAAATAAATATATTATTTTTGGTAATAAGCCTTTAAGCAAATAAATTACAATAACCATTAGGGAATCATTGAAAAGTCAGTGCAATTATACAGCATGAAAGACAACTTTTACGAAGCATTTCAACTCACAATCATATTTTTGTTTTTACGTTTTTTAATACACACATAAACGTTTATTTACGAATGCGAAAATAATCCTCTGGGTCCATAAAATACAAGTTTTTCGGAAAATGTGACTCGTGATAATTTCCAGTTTGGCAAAACTTGATTCGACTTGCCAACAGGAAGAGATGTTATATAAAATTAGCTATCGGAAGTATTTTGGGCTGTATCTTTAACCAACAACCGATGACAGTTAAGTTTTGTAAAAGCGGAAATAAGTTTCCTGAACAAAGAGTAAAATTCCATGGTTAATCTTTTTTCGCCATTAATGAATATAAATACAGATCCTATAATTAATGCACATGTAGAAATTATAGACATTTATTTTCTTTAAGCAGCCTATACTAAGCTATTAAACTCATTATGTAATTATTTTTCATTTTTTCAAATGCATATTTCCTACATTCATTCCTATTCCATCCTATTCTATTTCATCCGATCTTGAATAGTAAGATTTCCCTTTCTAATCCAATTATTAAACATTCATATTATGTTTATTTCAAATTCGCTTTAAATTCCCTCCATCCACATTTATATTCCACGAAATATATTTGATTGAAACTCTTTTCAATTTTCCTCATCACATTCAATCTTGCAGCTCTATCACAATCTATCAAAAACCTGTCAAACTTATTCAGTATTTAATGATCAATAATCCTTCTCTTTTTTCCTATCCTTGTTTACTTAATATTCATTAATTCATTTGTATTTCTTTTTTAATACCTCTAATTTATATTTTCCCTCCGATCCTGCCACAATCCTATAACAACTTTATGCTTACTTATATTTAATTTCCCTCCGATCCTGCAGCACTGTCACAATCCTAAAGCAATCTATATATCATATTATTATTAAATATTTTTGGTTTCCTTCTTAGTTTTTCCAATTCATGCTTACTTATATTTAATTCCTATCCGATCTTGCAGCACTGCCACAAGCAGTTAAACCAAGTGTACAATATAATTGATCCCTTCTAATTTTCTCTTATCCGTGCTTACTTTATTGCTTTACTTACGTTTCCATCCGATGTTGAAGTACTGCCTGAAGTAGCCTATATTTTATAAATATGTATATATATATATATATATCTATATATTTCTAATTTATATTTCCGATCCGATCTTGCAGCACTGTCACAAATACCTGGCGCTGCGCGACGAGGTCTACTGCCAGCTGATGAAGCAGACGACGGCGAACCGCTCCCCGTGTCCGGACAGCTCGCAGCGGGCGTGGCGCCTGCTGAGCATCCTGGCGGCGTACTTCGGCTGCTCGGACGCACTGCGTCCCTACCTGATGGAGCACCTGACCTCGGCGGCCTCCGACCGCCGGCGCTCCTGCCACGGAACCGCGGCCGTCTGCCTCACGAACCTGCGCAAGACGGCCCGCTGCGGCGGTCGGAAGAACGTGCCCAGCGTGGAGGAGGTGACGGCGGTGTCCGCCGGCAGGTCGGCCCGTCGCCAGATCTACCGACTGCCCGGCGGGGCGGAGCGGGTGGTGAACACCCGCTGCTCCACCGTGGTGGCCGACGTGATCGCCGAGTTGTGCGCCCTCTTGGGCGTGGAATCGGAGGCGGAGCAGCAGGAGTTCTCGCTGTACTGCATCGTCCAGGGAGACGCCTTCACCATGCCGCTGGCCGCCGACGAGTACATCCTGGACGTGACCACGGAGCTGCTCAAGTCCGGGCAGCCCTTCTACCTGATCTTCTGCCGGTCCGTCTGGCACTTCGCCTTGAAGAGGGAGCCCGCTCCGATGCCCCTGTACGTGGAGGTGCTCTTCAACCAGGTGGCGCCCGACTACCTGGAGGGCCTGCTCCTGGAGCTGCCCGGGAACGGGGTGCCCGTGCCCGAGATGGTACGCGACATGGCCCGCATCGCCGCCCTGCTCCACCGCGCCGCGGATCTGAGCCACGTGCCGGCGATGAAGGAGATCAAGTTCCTGCTGCCCAAGCCGGCGCTGGGCATCCGCGAGATCCGCCCCGCCCAGTGGGTGGGCCTCGTCCAGTCGGCCTGGCCCCAGGTGGCCGGCCTGAGTCCCGGCCAGGTGAAGGCCCAGTTCCTCAACGTGCTGGCCGCCTGGCCGCTCTTCGGCAGCAGCTTCTTTGCGGTGAAGCGCATCTGGGCGGAGGAGGCGCCCCACGTGGAGGACAACCACAGTCCCATGTGGCGGGACCTCATCCTGGCCCTCAATCGTCGCGGCGTCCTCTTCCTGGACCCCAACACACACGAGACCCTGCAGCACTGGAGCTTCATGGAGGTGATCTCTACGAGAAAGGTAACCCCATATACTCCTTCTCCTGGTTTTCCGATCTAAAGTGGCTTCTGGTCTCCATACAGGTTCGCTCCGAGGATGGTGCTCTCTTCCTGGACATGAAGGTGGGCAACCTGATGCAGCAGCGCGTCATCCGCGTCCAAACGGAGCAGGCGCACGAGATCTCGCGCCTGGTGCGCCAGTACATCACCATGGCCCAGATCAGTCAGCGGGACAAGCGGGAGCTCAACTAGTTGCTCGATTGCTTAACTTCCCGCTCACAAGAATCATCTTATTCGTATCCGATATCGTATTGAGTTACCCCCCGTATCTCCACACACACGCACACACACACACAAACATTTTTTTGTCGTTTTTTTTAAGTCGCGAGTACTAGTTACAGATATATATTATATTTATTGGCGCCCATATGCAAGATACATATGCCTGTTTAGATACTAATGTTGTGCTGGTTTATATATCCTCCCAATCCCCGATTCCCTTCTTTTCACCCGACTTGGTGGCGCTACGATGGCCATATAGTAGACCCCCTCGATTCCCTAGATCCCCTCGATTCCTAGGCTTAAGCGAACCAAGTGCAATCCGAGTGCAGGATTGGTCCCCTCCTCGTTTCAACGATCCAACGACTTCGTTTAGCACTTAAGATTAGCAAACTTTATTATTATCATTATTTTATTTGATTTTTTTTTGACATTTGTTAAATCGAAAATTGCCTAGCGTAATCCCTAAAATAATCATAAATAAATACAATTTATATATGTATATCTATCGCAAAAGTCGGCCTTCTTCATGGGTGGACTATACTAGTATATGTAGAAAAAAAACATTTAATCCGATTGAAGTGGATTAGGTAACTATATAATATTTGGTATGAGTTGATCGCTGTCATCCTCCTCGTCGTCCTCGTCCTCGTCCTCATCCTCATCGTACTCCCCGTCCTCGTCATCCTCATCGTCCTCGTCCTCCTCCTCCTCCTCCTCTTCCTCTCCATTTGGCTTATCCTTGTCACGGATGCCCACCGATGTTGCTGTTGCTGCTGTTGGTGTTGCTGCAGTTGCCACATTTGCTGTTGCTGTTGCTGTTGCAGCTGTTGCCAAAGTTACTATTGTTTGCTCCTGGCTAGCGAGTGGTGTGGGGGGGGCGTGGCAGAGGTCCTGCCGCACTTGTTGCATTTCCCCCAGTGGGCGGGGGAGTCCTTCTGCCCCGCGGTTGTTGCTGCGGTGGCGGGAATCGGTGCAAGTGGTGGCGCAACGGCGCTTAACGCTTCATTAGTCGCATTGTGGCTGCCAGCTCCAGTTGCCGTCGTCGTTGTCCTTGTGGCGATGCTGCTGGGGGGTAGTACTCCTACTCCTCCTCCTCCTGCTGCTGCTCCTCCTCCTCCTCCTGCTGCTGCTCCTCCTGTGGTTGCCACCGATGCGGTGCCATTTGTCCGGCGCTCCGGCTCGTTACCCGCTGGCAACTTTTCCGTCCTTCTGTCATCGCTCACACCTGTGCCGAGGTCCTGCTCCTGCTCCTGCTCCCTTTCCTGGTCGAGATCCAGTTGCACCAGCTGCTGAGTGGCGGTGGTGGGTGGCGTGATGCGCGGTGGCGCCACCGAGGTCAGCAGGAAGTCATCGCGTATCTCGCAGTTCTTGCCCAGAAAGCCCTGGCGGCACTGGCACCGGAAGCTCCCATCCTCGCGGCTCAGCGACGTGCACTTGCCCTCGTTCTCGCACGTCTCCGGGTTCTCCTCGCAGTAGGTGAGTTCTGTGGGTCAACGCGGTCAGTTCCCGCGGGCAGTGGCACATTTCGTGGAGGCAATCGATGTGGGAATGGGAAAGGGATTTTGGATTGGGGATGGGGATAGCATACTCACTCTCGTCGCAGAGCATTCCTCCCCAGCCGGGATGGCAGTTGCACTCCCACGGCGCCTCGCAATCCCCGTTGGCGCATCCAGGATAGGGAAAGCACTTGTCGCACTGGCTGCCCGTCCAGCCCACCTTGCAGCTGGAAAAGCCAATCGAGGGTGACCGTCGGAGGGGCAGGGATTGGGCGAATCGAAGGGGTTAGCTTGATTAATACGGCTCGAGTGAAAAGCCATGTGGGGGGAGTTTGGCTCTTTAAAGCAAAGGTTCGGAAATGCAGGAGTATTATCTAATGCAAAGTATTCACTATATTTAAACTGACTAACTCAATTCGCAAGTGTTAATTTAATTAATTCATCTTACTAAACCAATTAAATTTAATGAATAGTTAAGTGAAATTTAGTCATACAGCAGCTTAGCTGTCCAAAAGGATATAAATTAATACACATTAATATATTTAATTTTTGTGGTTTTTAAAAAGAAATTGATCTTGAACATTCCTATTTGTGAACTGTCACTTTAAGAATAGCGAATTATATTTCTTGTTCAAAAGCTTAAATCTAAAACGCATAAAGAAAAAAATCTTTTAAAATAAATCAAAATTTGTGTACACTGTTTAAATATTTTTTAAATTGTTTCTGATTGTATTTCCGCCACAGAAACAACTAACACATTAATTCGGTCTCCTAAAATTGACTTTGTTTCAAATAAAACTTTCTCCTGCACATTTAAAACTGGCACTCCAAAAATCATTTCCGCACCTCCTAAATTGGATAAACTATTGAATTGAAATCCCTGGAAGGGGTTGGGAATTGGCTGCACCTGTCAACCCTTTCCGCTGATTGGGCTTCCTACTCACCGGCACTCGCCTGGCTTGCGGCAATATCCGTGCTGCTTGCTGCAGTCAGGATCGCAGATTGCTGCGGAAGAGGAAGGAAGGAGGAAGGCAGGGGGATTAATGGGGGTGCTGGTTCGGGGGAGAAGGGGCAGGACTCACGTGTCTGGCAGAGGAGACCCGTGTAGCCGGGAAGGCAGAGGCACTCGAGCGGCTTGTTGCACGTTCCGTGCTGGCAGCCCGGCATCGTGGCACATTCGGAGCAGGTGCGTCCGGCGTACCCAATGCGGCAGCGGCACTCCCCTGGAGCCTCGCAGTATCCGCGCGTGCTGTGGCATCCACTCCGGCAACTGGCTGCGAATCAAAGGAATCATGAGGTTATAGGGATGCCTCAAGTTGGGTAACCTGACTGCAGGAGGAATAATCACTTCCCCAAATCAATGTGCAAATCCTTGGTAGAAATCTAGACTTTAATTAATTTGTATGCCATTTATTTTAATATTTTTGTGTAATTTTTGCTTTTAAATGTTTTCTTCTCTCAAAACTGCATTCTAACATTCTGATTACTTTTGTAAATTAAAGTTTTTAATAGAAAGAAATCTTTTTTTAGAGCTTGTATTACTTCTAATATAACAGCTTTTAAATTATACTATTTAATATAATAATATATTTAATATAATAATTAATTGAATGTTGAAATTGAGTTGAAGTGTTGAAAAATGGTTATTGATTTTTGATTTTGACTGTTTTCTTCTCCATAAAATGCATTTTAACATTCTGATTACTTTTGTAAATGAATGTTTTTAATAAAACAAAATCATATTTTCAGAGATTGTGAATATGAATTCTAATCAATTTTTTCCTGCGAGGAACTTACATCCGTGCAGACAAGTTCTGCGTTGAGTAATATTAATACTTTCCTTTTTTTTTTTGTCAAAATTCGACCTAACAAGTACTGATTTCGATCCGAATAAGAATCAATTTTAATCAATTTCTTCCTGGAAGTGACTTACGTTCCGTGCAGAAGAGTCCTGCCCAGCCGGGCTTGCAGATGCACTCGAAGGGCTTGGTGCAGCCGCCGTGTTGGCAGCCGGGGAGCGGGATGCACTTGTCGCAGAGTTCGCCGCTGTATCCGATGCGACACCTGCACTCGCCGGGTCTCTGGCAGTAGCCTGTGGAGTGAGCAGAGAGTCAGCGGGTCAGCGGGTCAGCGGGTCAGAGGTCACGAGGGGGCAACCTTGGAGGTCAATCATACCGTTCATGGGATCACAACCCCGGCGGCACATGGGAACCTGGCAGAGGTCGCCCTGCCATCCAGGAAGGCACTTGAAGTCGCCCTTTTCATCGCAGACGTAGTGGGCATTCTGCTTCTGCTTCTGCGACTTCTCACAGGCCTACGATTCAGCAAAGCCTAGTTACTATGTACTTCCAACTGGGAATGGCCACTGGCACTTACTCGTTGCTTCCACAGGGGAATATTCGAATTGCTGCTCTGACGCGCCTCAAAGTTTCGCCTGAATCCATTGCTGTCCTCCACTTCGAAAGCAGTGATCGCAAAAACAAGGAGAAACGCTGCCTTCTTGTCCCACAACATCCTTTTTACGATTTAGAACTATGTAAGCTATCCAATAACACTCTCTATAAAGTCAAAATAAATTTAAATTAAAGTAAATAAATAAAAAAAAAAAAAAAAAAGTAAAAAAAAAATAACACCAAAACAAGAAGCTTATTTTATTTTGATTTCGATATTCTGTAGAAATTGTTGATCTACCAAACAAAATTATATGCGGACTTGTTTTGTTGATCAGATTTTGAAAGAGTCTCTATCTACTTTATTTAAAATAAACTCAAACTGCATTTAAGCTAAAAATAATTGGACTCATTTGGACTTTTCACTTTTAACGATCCAAAAATGCTCTAAGCTTTATGTTTACACCACAAGCTTCATTTAAGTCGTTTCTGACGACCTTTCCTAAGAAGTTGGCTACGTAGTGGAGAGACTTTCAGCCCGAATACGGAAGACAAAAGTGAGGCTACAGCAACTGTATTGACGTATTGGATTATCGGCTCTAACGAAAAGTGCTTTCGTTTGGCCAAACTTAGACCGTTAAAAGAAATCGATGGCTGTCGCGTCACAATTAACATGTTCGAAGACAACTTTCTTCGCGGCCAAAAGAACGGGAGCCACACGGCCAACTGAGAACGGATGGATCGTGATGAATCACCCAACAATCCGAAGAAACCAGTAAAATGCAAATCGAGAATCGTGAATCGAGAATTACTAACGGTCCGTCTCGGTCTGCGATCGCTGTGGGACTAATCAAGTAGCCGCCTCGTCTGCCACTGCCACTTCAACTTCAACTTGCACAGTCACTTCAACTTCCATTTGCCTCTGGCCAATTCTCGGCTCTTTCTCCAAGCTAGTCTCTCCGTCTGCTGTCTGCTGTCTACTGTCTGCTGTCTACTGTCTTCTGTCCACAGTCTTTCTTCTGGCCTTCACCGTGAACTCGCCGCCGAGAGGCAAAGTGAGAGAAAGAGCGCTTGGCACCTGAAAACGGCCGCTAATTGGGTCAACCGGTGGCTTTAAAACAGCTGAGAGTTGGCCCAAGCACAGTGGGTCCAAATGCAAATTTAACAATGGAAAAAATTTTATTTAAAAAAACATCAATTTGTGGTTAACTAACAAATTAATCTATATTTAGTTCAAATTTAAAAAAATTAGAAGAGTGCAATATACCTTTTTTTAAACCACCTTATAAAATTAATACAAATTCTTCTTATATTTAATGGTTTTGAAAATGTTGAAATTCTTTTAAATCGCTTCTTACCATTAAATGGGAGTTATTCATGTTTTGTTTTCTTTTAGCTGTTCTATCTATAAGATTATTCAAGATTATAGAATAAGACTCCGTTTTCTATCAAAAGTTATATTATTATTTGAAAGATTCCTCTGGAATTGAAGATACCTACTACGTTAACATTTGGCTGTGTGTAAAAATATACGATTATCTATATTTTCTCAACATAAAACCAATCATCCATGGAGCCTCTTATTTTGTTGTTTTTCTTACCAGAAACTTAGGGCCACAAATCACTGTGCCTCATGCACCAAATAGTCGCCAAGCAAGTTGCAGTTAGACCAGGATTGTTCGTAGTGCTAGATTGGGAAATTTAAAGACCCCCGAACACGAAACTAGAATGGGTTACTTTAAAATTATACTTGTTCTTTATTGAATGATCTCATTATTGGTTTAATTATAATTTTAATAATTACTTTCGACATTCGTGTGTACCTAAAATCCAGATTAATGCTAAGATCCAAGCGTTAATTCCGACTCCAGAAGTTTGTCCGCCAGTTTGGGAACTGAAATTCAATTTTCCACCTGACAATCCAGACATTGAGTATGTGTGTGTGTATGTTCGTGCGTTTGTGTGTTTGTGTGTGTGTGTGTGGCAAGTCGGGGAACTAACGATTAGACAGATACACCCATGCACATCCATATATATAGGTTCTTTCACTACGCAGCCCGACTCCAAACTCACTGACTGATGTTATGCGGTATTTGATGACTTAGTCTCTAGTTTCTAGTATTATCCGATCCAAATGAGCGTCCTTATCGACCCCCAGCATTATAGAGTTGTCGGTTGGGTCGGGGCCCTTATGCTTACTCGCGAGGGTTTCCTAAACTACTTAGAGAAAAGCTCTCCGAGGAATGTCGATACCAAATGTGTCGAGTTGCTTTCTGTATGGGAATGTGGAACAAAGTTGCCTCCTATGGGATATATCGTATACGGATCATACTTTCAAGTTAAAAAGATGAGTCAGTGTTCAATGGAACAAAGGAAAAAAATATTAAAAGCCAGCTAAATATCCCAAATATTATTATATAAATATTGGAAAATATTCTTATAATCATTTAAAACTGTAAAGATTTTAGGAGGAATTTGACTTAGAAGGTGTTTAGAGGTACAATACTTTGAAATATGCCATGGGCAAATGCAATTGAAGTTATTTCGAGTCACCTTTGCTAATTCAATATTTATTTCATAGGTGAAGAAAAACTGTATTACTTTTCCACCTCTTAGAGGTTTATATCATTCCATTTTCGAATGCGATTCATGGAGTACATATGTAATTCGAATATTTAAGAAATCCCTAAATCTTGAATTGAGTAAACTTAAAGGTTCCTTAGTGTCCCAATTGTCTATAGCAACTCTGTCTGGCAGTCCTCCATATGCCACATTCCTCCTGCTTTCCACTGGCAGTGTGACCTTATCCCTCGGATCGCTCCTCTAGCTAGTTGGAAAAAAAAAAAACACTGACCTAACACACTGGCTACGATCTGCTTAATCCACTGGCTTAATCCTTAAACGCTTACATACGACGGGGTACTTGTTTTTGGGCCGGAAGTGAAGGGTTCGGTTTGGTTTGGGGTTCGGGGTTCGGGGTTCGGGGGGCGGGGGGCGGTGGATTTGCGGGCGTGGGTGATATGATATGATATGATGAGAGGGCGGGGCGGTGAGGGGGGCGGGGCCGTACACCATAGCCTACACGCGAAGGGAGGGGGAGAAAAAAAAATGATCACCGATGGCGACGGCGACGGCGACGCCTTAGACGAAGATAAACTGGGCGTGGCTGCACTTCTTGGGCGGTCCGACGGTCAGGCGGAGCCACTTGCCGCGGCACGACGGCGCCGGCAGCGCGCTCCAGCGTGTCGTGCGTCCGGCCAGCCCCTCCCCCGGCAGTGGTAGGTGGGAGCCAGCGTTGGCGGGGGCGTGGCCGGCACGGCGCTGCGCCTTCCGGCGTTGCGTCCTCTGTGCTGCAACTGCGACTGCAACTGCATCTGCTGCTGCTGCTGCTGCTGCTGCTGCTGCATCTGCCGCTGGTGGCGGTAGTCGGCGGAGCTCTCGTTGCTCTCGTTGTCCGTGTCCAAGTTGTTCGACAGCTCGTCCTGCTCCTCCTCCTCCTGCTCCTGCTCCTGCTGCTGCTGCTCCTCCTCCTCCTGCTCCTCCTCCGCCTCCGCCTCCGTCTCCTCGTCGCTGCCGCTGCTGTTCTGCCGCCGCTCCTCATCCAGCTCCTCCGCCCGCTGCCCAAAGGCCACCAGAGTGGTGGCCGCTGTGGTGGAGCTCGGGGTCGTCCTGGCCGTGGTGGAGCTGCCGGCGGTGTCCTGGACCAACGCCTCCAGGTCGCAGCGCACCGTTATGCGATCGCCTGCAGGAGAAGCAAATGCAATTGGGTTTATTTTAAAGCCATTGCAAGTTAACAATATTATAAAACGCTTTGCATTTTCAATTGAGTCACGGCACACAAAGAATGCCGTCGGTTTGCATTTTAATCAACATGAAAATACTTTTCATTGAAAATAAAACATTGAGGATTTTGTAGTGGTTTTTTAACATTCAAAGTTGTATGAAAGAATTTGAATATTCATGGATGGTATTGAAAATAAAATTGTACGTAAAATCAAGAGGAAACAAGTTGAGTTCCTCGAATATCAGTTAGCCGTAACTCAGTTGAACAACTTCAATATTTATCACTATAAGTTCCATCCCATCCGACAAAAACATTATGAAAAGTAGGCGTAGGAGAAATATTTCACAGCCCGTTTAGCTCCACACAGCACAACGAGCAGTATCGGCTTGGTTTTCAAACAGTCAACAACATACCTAAAATTCCTTTTCTATCGAAACAAACAGATTTTGTAAATTTTTCAAAATAGTTAGTACTTTTTTGTAAAATGTGGTCCTGCCGTATTGTGAACAAGTCTTACAGCGAGCGGTTTCCTCTCACTGAAGCCGAAAAGCGGAAATCCGCGATGATCCTCCAATGGGTGAACGGGTTGCTCGGGGAGGACCTCAAGCTCATCATTCAGCTCTCCTTGGGAGATTTCTACTGCAGGCTCGTGGACTTGTTTTTCGATGGAGTCGTGCCACTCGAAAGATTCAAACCTCACACCGATTTCCGAGAAAACTTATACCACTTGCAGGCCGCTTTAGAAGTACTGCAGATCCCTCTCAATGTTCCAGTAAAAGATATCTGTAGGCTAGACTTTCGGGCCGGCTTTGACTTCGCCTGTGAGTTCTACGATACCTTCGCGGACATCAGTGAAAACTATATTAGACGTCGGAACAACACCAATCATTCTGTCGAACCATTTATGGGCGAGCTTGGTTTCGAGATCCCGTCTGGCAGTGGTAATTCAGGAGTCGAAGAGCACCGGACTGCCGAAGGGAATGCGATCGTGACGATGGAGCAACCAGAGGAAAGCGAAGAGGATGAAGACGTCGCCTCATCTAAGCACCAGCTTTCGGTTCACGACGGTTATAAGATCCAAACTGGGAGTGAAGCCTCAGAAGTCGAAATGAAAAGCACTGAGGAGGATCCCCTCGAGGTGCAACGGTCTGCCGAAGGGAATGAGATCGTGACTATGGAGTAACCAAAAGGTTGCGAAGAAGACATCGCCTCATCTTACCAGAAGCTTTCGGTTCATGAGTGAAGCCTCAGAAGTCAAAAGGGACGATATCGTGATGACGGATCTCATCCAAGTTAAAAATTCAGGCATTTTTGACCGATGATAATGAAAATCAAATAAGAGCACCATTTTGATTTAAATAAAAGCAAGAATCAACGAAATTTGCAAATTCCTTTGTCTCATTATTTTGGTGGGCGAAATAAAAGTAGTATTAGTTATTACCATAATAAAAAACTTCGACTGGCCAAAGACGCCACGAGCTCATCTTGCGACAGTGATTAACGAGCCAAATGAGTGCCGCAACCGCAGGATTTTTTTAATTATCTAATTAGTCTTATTTGTAAAGCTTCAACGTAGCTCTGAATAAATAATTTAGCACTATTTTTGGGTTAAATAATAGGAAAAATATGCTTACATACATTAATTAAAAAAGAAATAAGAAAAAAGAATGATATCGCAAGTAATTCTTTACAACTGATGCATAATTCAATATATGAGTAACACGTTTAAAAAGTACATACATACATATATTAAAAGAAGAAGAATTGTTTGTAAATAAGAATTTATTATATATCATACTAATACTAGATCAAAAGCTTGTTCCAAAATACATTAGGTTCTAGATTGACTATCAATTAAGCCAATTTTAAAAGAATGTTAAATTAAAAATTTGGTACGACTTATTAAAAAGTACAAAATTTTTGAATAGGGCAAAAAATCTCAAATCTGGCGGAATATCTCTAAGATTTGGTCATGGGAACAGAACAGATTCCTGGATTCCAATGAGGGATCGGTTCAGTTCAGTAATGGAGGTTCAGGTGGCGGTCAGTAGGGCATCGACCGGCTGATCAGCTGGGTGCGGATGGCGTGGCTGAGGGCCTCCAGCTCGGCCACGTCCATCCCGTGGATGAGGCACAAGGAGGCGCGGAGCAGGTTGCCGTTCATCAGGGGGCCTCGCCAATCCGCGCCACAATCTCTGCAGCAGGAGCAGATGGATGGCGATGGGGAGGTGTTGGGGACAGACGACAGTGGCCCACTAACCCCCGCCATGTTCATGTGCTCGGTTGTCCGGAGCAGCGACTCGTAGTTGTCCTGGCGACGATAAAGCATCGGATTCTGTTGAACCGGAGACGGATAGCTAAGCGGAATGTGAGGTGGGGTGGGGGATCGCTGCTGTAGACCAGGAACGGCATCGCCGCTGGCATTTCGGGCCCCCGACCATGGTAGCTCCTGGTTTCCAGTTCCGTTCTCGCGGTTATCCCGTTCCCTCTCTTGCTTCGTCTCCCGCTCCCGCTCCTGTTCCCTCAGTCTGTTCTGCATCATCTCTTTCTCCCGTTCCCGCTCTCTCTCCCTCTCCCGCTCTCTTTCTTCCTCTTGCCTCTTCCGCTCCTGTTCTCGCTGCCTGTCCCACAGTCGCTCCTTCTCAAGTTCGCGCTCCCTCTCCCTCTCCGCCTTCTGCCTCTCCTGTTGCTCCTTTCCCTTGGAAGAGCCGCCTGTCGCTTGCTCCACGGAGGAGTGAGTTTGAGGAGGAGGAGGAGCAGTCTTCCCTGGCGGAGCGCTTCGCAGGGCGGCCTGCAGCTCCTGGTCGCCGACATCGACATCGTCCAGCCTGCGCAGCTGGGGCAGCTTGCGGAGCACGCAGGCGCGGTAGTTGCTGCCGGCGGCCTCGGCGCACGGGTTGCCTTGCAGCCAGAGGAGGCTGAGGTCTGGGGCGTTGGCCAGGTGGTCGAGCTCGTCGAAGCTCGCGATCTCGTTGGAGCGCAGGTAGACCTCCTGCAGGCGGGTGCAGTTCTGCAGGGCGCTCAGCGAGCTGATCTTGTTCTTGCTCAGCGAGAGGACCTCCAGGCGCGGCATCCCCAGGCAGATGGAGATGTCCTGCAGCTCGGCACCCCACACGTTCAGCTTTGTCACGCTGCGGTAGTCCGAGCACCTCGCCTTGGCCTCCACCAGACGCTCCGTCAATCGGTTCATCATCGCGACGCACGTGGAAATTACGGATTATGGATTACGGATTACGGATTACGGATTACGGATTACAATTACAAATAACGGATCGCGGATCGTAAAACGCGGATCTCGGAACACTAAGTGACTGAGCTGACTGAGCCTGAACTCGCGACTCCACTGTCAATATTTTGGGATGAAATGTGTACTTAATTTGCCTGAATTCGCGTTATTGTATTTAATAAATCACAACACAACAAATTTTCTCGAAAAAAAACTAGAAATTGGTATGAGATTTCGATGTGCTTTCTCGGAGTGTTAGGTTTGTACTGAGGCTATGGGAATCCACTTTTAAAGTTCAATAACCACAAAGTTCCAAGCCTATTTTGCTTCAAGAATTTTCATTGTGAGAGGCTTGTTAAAACAACAACAAGTGTGCCATAATTGTAATTAGTAATTACTACGCGGATATAATTTTCTAAAAAAAAAAATAAATTGATAAATTGTTATTATTAATTTAATATTAATTGATTTTTTTTTGATAAAAACAAGAAATAACGTTTTAGTTGAGTGCCACGAATATATCTGTCTATAGAATTGTGCGCGCCCCCAAGGCTGGTGGGTGTAAAAGTGGGCGTGTTGAGTTTTGAAAAACGGCAATCGCTGCGTATTTGTAACCTGAGTTTAAATCATCAAACAAAACTCAAAATTTGTAATCCAAATATTGTAGCTCTTATAACTCTCAACGTTCATACGGAGGGATAGACGGACATGCCTAGATGGACTCACCTGATCCTGATCAGGAATGTATAAACAGTACGCGGCTACAAGTGCAAGTTTTATACTCCTCAACGATTACACTTAACGAGTAAAAGGTATAAATATTTTCTTACTACCATTTGAGACATATGTGATGTTCCTCTAAGCTTCTTTCATTATTCGAAATATATTTTCAAATTGTAAATATGTTTTTAAAGGCATTTCCTTGCGATTTTTAAAATTATTTAATTACAGTATATTTAAATTATTTACAGTATATGTAAATAGTCGTCATGGGGAACAAGTACATCAAGCAAAATCTTTTAAAAAGTAGGCGTAGGAAAAATATTTCACAGCCAGTTCAGCAGCACCACACAGCTCTACAGTCAGTAATAAATCAGTTGTGGAACAGTTATAATCAAATTTTATTTATTTTATTTTATTGTGTAAAGTGTAAGGCATCATCGTGAGGATTACTGGGCTCTTCAATAAAAGACCATTAGAACATAAAAACAAAAAGGTGTGCTTAATATATTGGGGCGTTTCAGGAATTTAAATTATGGTTGCATATTTAATTGATTAATAGCAAGAGTCAATGGAATTCGCAACTTCATTCGGCTAACTTGAAGATTTCGATGTTGATTATTAATTGGGTTCTGTTGTTTGATCAATTGAATTCACGTTTTTTATTTGTTTTATTTGAAAGAGTTAACTCACCTTCCAGCATGAGATTATAAGGAGGCAGCTTATGGCAGGCTTTCGATGCTTTGATTACTTCGAATTCCACGCAGTAGCTGAAAGACAACCGAAATAGCAAATAGTGTTAGTTATAGTTTTCTCAACATGTCCTAATGTGTTAGTTTAATGGTTCAGTTAAAAGAAATAGATGTGTTCTAGTCCTATTAGGTTAATTTGAATGACCCCTTGGTTCATAAATTTAATTTCATACATAATTGGTTATTAAATTTTGTAGGTCCAACGATTGCAAATCTGTCTGAGGACTTGAAAGCCCCGCTCGCCTGAATTCGACTGTCGACGACTGAATGTTCGCTTAATTAATAATCCATCGCCATAATTTCCATCCTCGGCAGGACACTCGACACTCGACACTCGACGCTCGTTCACCCATTCAGATGGCGATTCATTCGTCCGTTCGGCCGTTCATTGATTATGCATGTCCTTCGGCGACGCCTCATTAGAGTGCCAAAGGATCTGTCTGGCCATTGAGATGTTAAATATTATAATTATTGCGATTCAGCTCCTTCGGCGGGGAAATTCAAGGATTCGAGGATGCGAGTGGGGGAGGGGGAACCTGATTTGTGCAATTGTGCGGAGCGGAGGAGCAGTTTGAGCGAGCGACTTCAAAGGAGCAGGAAATGCGAATTGTCTATTAAGCCTAACAATTTCCGCTTCCGCTGGGCAAAAGGCGAAAAAAGAGGAGGAAGAAGGAGGCGAAAGCAAATCGAACTGACATTTTGCTGCGGCTGTGTCTGGGTGTGTGTGTGTGTGTGTGTGTGTGTGTGAGTTTGCGTGTGTGATTCGAGAGTGTGTCTGTGTGTGTGTCTGACAGCTGTCAAGGTGTTGACATCGGAAATTGCGTAGGAAATTTCAAAAGTGCCTGACATTTCGGGCATTTTTGAGCGCAATCCCCGCACCGGAAAGCCGGGCCACTTAGCCAAAAAAAAAAAAAGAAAAGCAGAAGGGGCTTTTAGCCAAAAAGGGAAAGCCGTGAGTATTGCAATAGAAGCCAGCGAACCTGGATTCGATGATGAAGGCAAATTAGCCAGGATGCAGCGGAAATTGAAATTGGCGTCGCACTTAGACCGCAAAAAAAAAAAGAAAAACCTATTCCCCAGACTCCACAGAATAACAAGTCATAAATAAGGGGAATTATTATTAAAGGGGAGTCGCCATTCGCCAGTCGCCAGTTGCTGGTTGAGATTTAGAGGAGCACAGGGGGGCCAGGAGAGGGGAGGAGCAGCTGACAGCTTAATTAAGTCGCGGCAAAACCAAAGACCGAAGACCGAAGACCGAAGACCTCAGAGCGAAGGACCCTCTGCGCCGAGGCAATAAAGGTAAATTGAAAAAATTAATGTAAATAAACAGGCGCAGACGCCGCGCCGAGTAATAAAAATAAACAAGGCAATGCACAAAACTCGAGGACCAAAACATAATTAAAGACAAGCAATGTGCGGCCTTTTCCAACCGGGTATTTGTCTGGCCAGGAAGCACCAAAAAAACCAAGACGAAGAAGAGCAGGAGGAGGAGGAGGAGCAGGAGCAGCAGGAGCAGCAGGAGGAGCACTTGGCGGAGTCCTTGGCCGGCGATCATAAAATAAAAAGCAATTGTTATGCTTGGCTTGCGGTGAACGGAGGAGAATAGTCGGCATTTCCTTTCGGCCTTCAAGTGGCAACATAGCTGCTCTAAGCTGAAATTTGTGAAAAAATAGGGCCCACTGATTTATTGCAAAATGAAACATGAAAATGATAAACGGAAAAAGGGAAAATTCGAGTGGGAATGGGCAGCTGGGTTTTTAATTCATTAACTGATTACGGAGGTGAATTGCACACAAATCAAAAGAGCCCCTACATCATCACTTATTTAAAATAAATGTTGAAATGTTATAATCAATTAGGAGTCACACATCAAACCGAATATTAAATGCAAGCCTAATGGGCCTAATCAAAAAGCGGAGAAGAATGAATTGAGTTCAACGCTGTTTTCCTGCCGAACTTCGTTTAAAATTCACCATTAACCAGTTTGTTTTTAATGGGCCATGAACTTTATATGCGGCACTCAAGCGAAATTGAATCTAATTCATCATTTTAAGCACTCATCTTGCATAAGCAAAACTAAATGCTAATTAGGAGCACAAAGTGTGGGCTCATTTGAAGGAAACTTTAGGCCTTCAATATTTGCACATGAATGTCTGCTTGACTCGGCAAATCCACCCTGGATTAACAAAATAAATATGTTTATTTTGTATGTGTGAAAATTAAAGGCTCTGCGGCAGGTTGCACGCAAATTGAAGGCTTAGCCAAAATATACGACGCACATATTTCGCTCTGAATAAAAATACCTACGAATTTATTTCAGAGTAGCAAGCAAATTCCGAACCCAATTAGAAGGCCCATAAAGTGGAAAGGGCGGAAAGGGGTTTCAAAAGCAGTGATGAGCTCAGCTTATCCTTTGTAAGCAAAAATGTTTGCCGGCTCCTAAATATTTCACAAAATATTATTTTATTCTGTAGCAGAAAACGAGGAATATTCTGTTAATTCATGAAACATAATGAATTCTAAGGGGTTGACCATCCCAAGAAAATGTGCAATGCCAACGGCTTGTATTTTATGAATATCAAACTTAAGCAAACATTTGTGGAAAAATACCTTAAATTATTAGTTTACTGCATTGTTTAAATTTTTGTTGTTTGTTTTAAAAATGATGCAAGCTTCAGAGAACCACAATTTCAACAGTAAGTAAATATTTTCAGCATAGTTATATTAAATATTAATAATTTCAACGCCATAGATTTATTCCACCTTTTTAATGAATAACAAAACTAACAAAATCATATTTTGATGTGTGTTAAAATGCTCTTTCTTGCGGTAAAATTCGTTGGTAAATATTATATATTAACCATGAATTAAGCTGACAATATAATTTGTATTATATTTTAGCCATCAAATTTGAATTGATTTATTGTTTTAATTCCTTCTCACTTTATTGTGTAACCAAAATTATGAACAATCAATTAGTTCTGTAGGCAAATGATTAAGAGCCAATTGCCCAAAAACTGGATTTGGGAAAACAAAGGATCCGATTTTCATGAAATTCAATTAAATTATTTATTTACATAAAATTAATGAAAAAATACCTTAAGGGGTTGCAAGTTCGGATCTTGTAGCCACCCTCTAGCATTTCTGTGCGCCTGGTATTTCGTTTTCCAATTTGCCAATTCGTTGTGTTCCATCGAATGATTGGATTTCAGATACCAGGCGCACATAATCCGCAGAAGGTTGGAACTGGTAAATTAGAGTTTACTAATTTCGATATCCACCTGCTAGGCGTTTACGAGTATGTTCGACTCGTGTCTTAAATGTAAAATCTACCCAATGTGGTAATTTCTTGCGAAATGTGGTCACTACTCCTTTGGTTTTGGTTGTTTTGCATTAAATTTTTAGAATTTGTGCCACCAGGCGAACATTATTTAAAGTAGGTCGGACAGACGGACAGACGGACAGACGTACAGACGTTTTCTGTTTCTACTCGTGATGCTGATCAAGAATATATATACTTTATGGGGTCTGAGGTGTCTCCTTCACTGCGTTGCAAGCTTCTGACTGAAATAATGATACCCTCTGCTAGGGTATACAAGCTGTGAAACACACGATTCGGCACGCCGCAAAGTTCTCAATTTCCGCTCAGATTAGGAAGGACTCGAGATATTTTTCTTCCGCTAAATGGCAGGACACAAAGTCGACTTCCGCCGAATTAGGGTCACCGGCAATGGCAGCCACTGACCACAATGGATCAACTTCTGCCGGCCAGCAAATTGTGGCCAAAACATTAACATACAACATACACTCAACTCTGAAATTTTACCCCACCCCCTCCTCCACCTGTTTTGGTTGGTTGCCCTCCGCCCGGAAAAGTCATTTTCTTGTCAAATATTTTGCCACTTCAAAGGCCGACAACTGTCAACAGCAACAACAACAGCAGTAAAAACAACAACAACAACAGCAGTTACAACAAGAGGCATACAGGCACTTAAAAAAGTATTTGCACTTGCTTATATGAAGGGCAAACAAAAGCGGCGACGAGATGAAGTGAGCGCCGCTCCAGCTGCGCTAAAAATAATTGCTCGACAAAGTTGCCTCACAGCTGGATGGCCACACGATGTCCCGCTGCCACGCCCCTTTGTCCATCTACCACCGCCTCCCCGCCCCTTTACGCCTGCTTTTTATTTGCCTACCACCGATGCCGGAAACGAAAACGATGGCGACGCCGAGGGACCGGGCGACATTGCAATTTGGACAGGATCCAACACTGAGAGAAAATCACTGCAATTTGCAGGGTATACTTTTTCCCAGCCCTTTGTTGTTAGGTTTCGAATGCTTAAATACAATTCCTGAGTTGCTTCACCCAACCGAATTTTGTGATTTGCTTTAATCTTCAAATACGTTGCATTTTATTTTGGCACCACTAAACTTTAGAAAAACAATTTCTTCTGAATTTTCAATATTTTTTTAAATTCCAATGAGAACTTGCACCCTCTTTATCTCAGTGCATCCTTCGAGCAACAGGCGGCTGGCGAGGAGTTCGTCGGGACCGAAGGCAAGGGACTTCTTGGACTTGGACTTGGAATTGGTGCTGGTCTTGGTCTTGGTTTTGGCATCGGTCTTCGGTCTTCGGTCGTCGGTCGTCGGTTGTCGGTCTTCTGCCAGAAAGGAAGCACTTTGCGGCGCTTGAGTGAGTCGCCTCCAAAGGGAAATGTAAAAGCGATTCCGCTGGACGTTCGCTGTCCTTGTTGTCGGCCTTATCCATCTCCTGGCATCCCAGACAGCCAGCTTCCAGTAGCCCACCCACTTCCCTCAACGCTTTTCCTGCTTTTTAATGATGATTGAGCGGCGGAGAGAAAGCGGCTCGGAAAACCTTGTTGCATACTTAGTCAATGCAAAAGCTGATTTGCCGCGAAAAGGGGCAGGGTAAAGGAGGGGGAGCGGGGGTAAGGGGGGGAGGGGGGCGTGGCCGGGGGATTACTGTGACAGTTTCGCATCGCTGGCCACCGCGAGGAAAAGCTTTGTGCAAATAGAGCTGCCGGCATGTAGATTAGACTGAAAGATTTCCCCCTTTCCATCCTGCTCCTCCCTTTTCTTTTTGGCCAAATAATTGATATGGAAGGAAAGTGTCGGCGGTGCAGAGGTGATTGCTTCCTTTGCCATTCGCCTTCCGATTAAAAATAGAAAATATGCCACAAAGGCGGAGGAGAGTTGTGGGTGACTGATTATAATGAGGACAGGGCAAGGCAGATTAATCAACGTGTTACAGGTATTCCGTTTCCACATTTCGGAGTTGCGTGTCTTGGATATGCATTTCAATTCGAAAGGGGGAAATATTTATGAGCTACCCAGAGATACGCTGATGTTTTTCCTGCACTCTCGCCATTATTTGTCTAGGACCGAGTAAAAGCCCTCGCTGCGAGGCCCTTAAAGTGGCAAACGGTATGTCCTTGCCGGGGAAGCTCGTTCAAATAGCTCGCTGAATGGGAATTTTTCCATTTAGCCATTTCATTTGGCCTCTTTCAGATGCTTAGCCTTGTGCCGGAATCTTGGGCTCGGCAGCTGCCCGCCATTAAGTGCATAATTCAATTTGTAAAGCCGCCGACTTTGAGTGCCCCTAAAAGTATGCAAAGCAGCCGCAGACGGACAAACAGAAGTCTTCTGCTGCTTCGTCCTTTGCAAAAGCCGCCTGCATAGATCAGAAGGGAGCTGTATTCTATATATACATATATACATTTATATATGTGTATGTATATTTGTGTAATGAAAATAAAGCAGCGGCTTTAACGCATTTTTATGGCCCTTATTCCGCTGTCAACCGTATGCAAGCCGTTACAGAGGTAAAAAAAAAAAAACAAAAAACAGAAACAGAAACAAAAACAGAAGCAGAGTGCGCGATAAATGCGAATGTGCTCCCAAGAATCCTTGGGATCCGGGATTTGGAGGCCAGGACGAATCCAGCGCACCTGCCTTATGCAAATTAGGTTCCAGGGAATGAGGGGTTTTCCCAGGGGGTGGAAAAGGGGGGAGGGAATGGGAGGGGGTCCCCTGGAATCGTAAAATCTGTCAATTCGCAGACTCATTGTCTTCAATTTCCAGGGGCTAACAATCAAGAGGGCTCCTTTTTTTTTGGAGCGAAACGCGGGCAGAATGGGGCCCAATTTAACCTGACTTTTGTGCTGTAAATTAAATTATATATTCATATATGTATGGAAGTATTTCCATTCGGATGGCAGCCTAATTTTAACTTTATAATTAAGAGTCAATTGCTCAAGTTCATTTTCACAGGGCAATTTTTTGTTGTGTTGGCACTTTTAAATAGTTTTTGTGTCTCAGTTATTTACCCTTAAGCATATATTCAAAACAAATATCGTATGTTCATGTTGTCTCCTTCGAATTGAAAAATATTTTTGAACATCTATTTTATCAAATCACAATCTACCCCAAGGACTCAGTTCCAAATGGAAATGAATCGATAATTGTGTCTGTGTGAATCGAAATGAGTTTATCCAATAGCTCGCCCATCTTATCTGAGTGTCCAGCTTTGACACTTGCACTTGAAGACCAGATATCGATCCTTGGGGCCCCTCCCCTTTTTCAGGGTGGAAATCCAGGGGTGCGGGTGGAGACTCCGTCCCTGGTTAGTTGGCGCTTTTCCTCGGACGCTTTGTTTGCTCGCGTCTGCTGGCAAATTTATGCGGTCCAGGCTAATCCTCGTGGGGATTTGGGCTTAAAACGTTTTATTGTTGCCCCACGTAGGCGCAGACGGTGGGCGTGGTCGTCGTTGGCGGGGCAGGAGGGGGCGTGGCACACACGGCTGTCGACTGCAGATTTCCCAGTTGCCTTGTAAATTTATCGCATTAAAAAAGTGTGAATTTTCAACAACGTTGTTGGCGGCCGCTCCTTTGTCTTCGTTGTCTTCCTTTGGCATCCAGCTCTCCATCTTCGCCTTTTTAATTTCTTTTTCTCTCCCCTCTTCAGCTTCGGCTGTGCTTCCACCACCCACCACCGCCCACTCCCCTCCCTTTTTATCCCCACCACCCACTTCACCTTACAGCCGCCGCTTGACACTGTCATTATGTAAATTAAATTGTGGCGAATTATTGTTTTTATTCTTATTTTCGGTTTTGCCCATTTCCACCGCCCGCCTTCGTTTTTCTTCCTGTTTTTGTTTTCTCTTTTTTTCGCTGGTTTTCCCCCCTCATTTCCGTAATTTATGTATATGTTTATTTATTTTCCCTCCACTTTCATCTGCTGGTTGTCGCCGCTTTTGTTGTTCGAGTGTATAATTCATAATTTGCGGTTTGGTTCCTGTTGCCGCCTCTCATATCGCTGACAAAGCAATAAAAGTTTTCCCAGCAAGTTAACAAATCACCGGGGGGGGCGGAAGGCTGAGCGGGGGGCGTGGCACCTGTCACGGTGGGGGGGATTCCCCGAGATCGAGACTTAATCATGAGAAAGGGGAGCCACTAAAGTTGGATAATATATTCTCGTTTCTGATTGGCCTTGCATATCCTTAAGTTGGCGTTTGAGCGAAATATTAAGTGGGAAATATTAGGTTTCAAAACAAGTTTGCAAGACCTGAAAGAGGTATCAAATCAGTTTGAACAATATTTCCGCCAATTATGTTCAGAGAATTCCGTTTACCATTTAACAAAGTAAGGATTTAATTAGTTTCACCTCCAAATTTAAAGCTTGCATAATTTGTTGGCCTGCTAAGCAGTTGCAGCTCCTAACAATTTGTGTGTTCTCATATCTTTTCTATCGCCATTTTAGTTACTAAATAAGCCATAACTCTTGGCCAGTCGTCCGTCATGCTGCCATATTTGCCAATGTACTTGGGGATTGGGCTCTGGGCCAGAACTTGAGCAAACTGATGGGAACTGCCATCGATTCGTTTCAATTAGCAGCAATAGTTTAAGTAAACCTCCCTTCCTCTTCCGCCGGCGGCTTAGTGTCTCCTCCCCTCTCCTCTCCTCTCCTTTCGGCCAACTGGCTCCTTCTTCGTCTGTGCTCCTGACCATCAGCCATCAGCCATCAGCCATCAACCGCCCGACTGTTAATTAAGGCCCAAAGTAAGAGACAGGACACACATGCCGATGTTTGTCCAGCAAAGGGGAGAAATCACAGAGGGAAATTTGAATTTGCTCCTTTAACGCAGTGAACTAACGAAGTGCATTATATGGAGGAATCTTTTCAATTTTAAGGAAACGTAGAATCCAAGAGAACGGAAAAATGATTTAAGAGAGGGTGAAATGGAGAGGGTGGAAATGGCAATGAATAAAAGGGAACCTAAATTTAAATATTTAATCCGGTCTATAGATTGTATTACTTTTTTACAGGATTAAAGTTACTTGAGATTGTGTTAAGCTCTTTACACTTTAGTTTCAATTTAAAGCAATGCAACACCCTAAAATAAATAAATGTGAACACATTTAATATTTCTCTCTATGATAAAATAAACGAGAAATCAGTGCGAAAAATGCGAGATAAGCCCAAATATAGATATAATTTCGACGTTCAAGGGGAGAAAGAAGAAAAAAAAAGACAAAGCACCGAATGAAAAATCGTAAAATAATAAAAGGCGGATTTAATTTAATTTTATTTTTCAGACCCACCGACGATTGGGGAAGGAGGGAAATAACATCAACAACAAAGCGAATCGCATCATAATAAACGGCTTTTGATGGGCCTGGGAAATCAGGAGTCAGAATCCAGAATCCAGCGATGGAGCGGGGATGTGAAACATCAAAAAATCTGACCTCTCAGGAGGTCCTTGAAGGAAACGCGTTGCGTCCAGGACTCGGCACGTGATTGATGTGCTTTTATTGTGGCATCCATAATGGGCCAGCGAAAGATGTTCGCCAGATTTGCTGCTGCCACCGAAAAAAGGTGAGGCAATGCGGGTATATCCGTCTGAATAAAAGTCAAAAAATGTCGAAAGATATGCGCTTTTCAGCAGAGTGTCTGCAAGTCACAACTAGGAGTTGGACACCAAAATCCAGCACAAACACACAAAAAGCAAAGAGAGCTTGGCAAATGTAGAAACCACGAGGGGAACGGGCTGGAAAACCAGGAGAAGGAGAAGGAAAAGGAGAAGGCGTCGAAAAGCCAGAAGGAGAAGGCTTTCCTTTGTCTAGCTTTGTTTGCTTTCCCGGCTCGTGTTTGCCAGCGCCTGGCCACACCACAAATAGGACATGAAGGACACTTAAGGACATGTCGCAGACACTCGCAAAAATCTGGCATGGCCAACCTGGGCGGGCAAATCATAAAAATCAAAGGAGGCAAACAAGCGGCTCAAAAAATGCCAAGGAATATCGGAGCAGTCGGAGGAATTAACAACGCGTCAAATCAGGGACGGCTTAGAACAGTTTAATGCGAGCCCCCTTTTATGATGGACTTTTATTGCCGGCGTTTATGTTTCCCATCCGTTCCCCGTTCTCCGTTCCCCGTTCTCCGTTCCCCGTTCTCCGCACCCCGTTCTCCGTTCCCCGTTCCCCGTTCTCCGTTCCCCACTCGCACTCGAATTTCCCCCGCCGGGACATGAAATTATTTTGCATGTCGCGCGCCATAAAAACTCAACGGCTAGCAAATTTGGGATAAACCTTCTTCCAGTCGCCCCTCGTAATGTCCAGGATCACGGGCGTGGGCAAGAGCTATGAGCTTTTTCCCATAAAAACAAAAGCCAAGCCAGAACAAGAGCCATCTGCACCGAAATAGGCAGATTTGCCAGCCAAGTTGCGATACTTGGTTTTCTTAGGGGGAGGCGATCGTTTTCGAAAGCAATTCTGTAAGGCTTTCGAAATAGTTTGGTTTTATAAGTGTGATTGTATCCATATTAACAAGATTTATTTATATTTTATCCAATAAACTTTCCACTTGGCTTCCCATAAGTTTATAGACACCAAGGTGTTGTACAATAAAGGGGATACTTACTCGTGATCATGGTTGTGTTTGTAGGAGTCGCGGTAGCGCGTGCGCAGATTCCGTCGGCTTTCGCCGCTTTCATTCACGTGGTGGCTGTGCGAAAGTGCAGCTGGCAGGAGCAGGGCCATTTCTAAAAATAGGAAAAGAAAGTGCAGAAATGCAGTGTTATTTGGGGATATCTTCGGAAATGCGCGCAAAATCAATTTCCAGGTGAGAAATCCCAGGAGCTCAAGGTTGCGGTTGCCTTTTGTGGAGCCCTGCGTGTGTGTGACTGCCACAAAGCACGCATAGCCACCATAATTCGTTCCCCACTCACACCCCCACTCACACCCACACCCACACCCACACCCACAAAGCACATACACTCGGCGAAAGCGGAAGTATGCGTGTTGGAACGCCAGGGGCTTTTTGTTGTTTGCCTTGTTGGTTGCCCTTTTTCCGTTAGACGCGTTTTTTCTTCCCGCGCGAAATCAAAACATGCCATTAGCAGGCGACCAAATAAAAAGCCAAGCAAACAGCAAACAGCATGTGCTGTATCCACGTTCCTCCTCGTTTTCCCTCCTGTTCCCTTCGCTCTCTCTTTTTCCCCTTCCCCTCCCCTTTCTCACCATCTCATCCCCAATTCCCCCAACCGCAGATTGCATAGAAATGCGAGCCGCAGTGCCTCCTCCCTCCTCTCCTCTTCCCTTCTCCCTCCTCCCTCTTTCTTCTTCCCTCTTTCCTCTGCAGTCACGAAGGCAGCGACAACACGTCGGGATCCGCCAAAACTAACACCAAAAGCCAACACCAACACCTTGGATGACCCGACGTGCCGCGGGTGCGAAACGATGCCACATGCTTGATACACTCAGAGAAAATAGGATAGAGAGGTAATGAAGTTCGATACTGATTATTTTTCATTCTAAGTCAGAATACCAAAAAAATATACGAGAAACAAAAAATTGGTTAAGTATCAGGTATTTAATTTTGTAAGTTTATTTTGTGTTTATTAAATGTTCAAAACGGTACTTTTTGCCTAAACTAAAAAATTATTTTGTAAACTATTAAATGGTTAAATTTATTATTTTTGAATTTCTTTAATTGTTAATTCATATATCTGAAGCTGTAAAAAAAATTAACAAGTAACTTTTAGAGGTACTTTAAAAATTATTCCCTTTATTAAAATATGATAATGATTATATTGACTATAAATGTTTTAAGTTTACCCTTTTCGATTGTTTTAAGAACATAATATCAATTTACGGACCTAAAGTAAAATTTAGGAAAAAACAAACTGGGGTCTGGAATTTTCTCTCTGTGTCGTGCCCTTTGTGCTCTCCTTCGATTCGCCACTGTGTTTACCCGATATAATTTACGTGTGCGATTTGTTTGCTCAGCGACTCTTGAACCTTCATGGGACCCCATCGAACCGAACCCAGGAAGGAGTGCTCCTGGAAATCAGAGAATTAAAGGGGGAGGAGTACGCATTCAGTTCAGTGTCAGTCGTTTGTGATGAGTGTTGCTAGTCAGTAAATCCTCCATTCTAAGTTATTGTTTTCGTAACAACAGAAATCGACCGCCGATGGAACACCATCGATAACTGAATCCGCAATAGGACTCTGTGGTAGCCAAAAGGAGCGGAGTGATCCTGTTGAGCCATCAGTCGTACTTGGATATCCAGTTAAAAGTGTGAGTAATGAAAAAATTGTATTTTATATGACGAAGGTTTTGAACTGTACTTGCTTGAACGCTTTTATTACGCTAAGGTTTTTAAGAAAAAGATCAGGTGCTTAGAACCCAATGCAAATCAATTTGAAAGAACACTAAGATACAAATTTTTGTTTCAAACGATATTTGTTCAATTATAAGCATATTTTTTAAACTATATTTCATATATGTATTTGTATATTCTCTTCTTCTTCTTTTCAAGAACTAAATAAAAATGTTTAAAAATTGGTTATTCTTTTGATACCCGTAGAATTGAAGGGTATACTGTAACAGGATGCACCTGCTATCATGTACATGAAACGAGTGGATATAACCATGTCGGTCTGTTCGTCAATTTCTTTGCATAACAAATGTACGAACAACGTTAACTCAAAAGTTTTTCTCATTCGCTGTGCATTAGTTTCGTGATTTGAGAATAAAATTGTTATGGTAAACCAATATAGAAATATACTTTTGATTCTTAAGTTACTTTTGTGGGTTGAGTAGTGTGATTCCCTGAGATTAAGGTCAACATATAAACATCATATTTACTTGAACTGGTTACAGCTGAATAAGCCACACTAAGCCGTGTTTAGACAGACATTGTTTTTTAAGGATAGCAGACATTGTTCTTTATGATCCATTGTCCGACTCCATGTTGGGTCCGCCGGGCAGTTCCTGCGGGACTGCGAGCGGTACAACTGGACCGCTCGCTCCCGAAAAGTGCTATAATGTCATGGACGTTTCGTGGCATTGAATAACCGGTGGAGCGGTGGAGATTTTGGAATAAACATGGTGGTGTCCTTGTTTCAAAAAAACCCTCACCTTGTGTGTTGTGTGTGTTTTTTTTTGTGTGTGTGTTTGTGTGTTATTTTCAGGGCCCGTCCATATGCGTTGCATAATTTTAGGCACCGTCGCAACTTATGCAAATTTAACGAGCCAAGTGCTAAGCGCTCGAGGGGAAAGGGAAAGGTCAAGGACAAGGAGAAAGGGAAAAGGCAAAAGGGAAAAGGGGAAGAGGAAAGAGGAAAGCGGGCCCCCATTTGCATAATCAAATGCCATATTGTCGCCCCGCCCCCCGTCAAGGTCCTTCCGCCCAGATTTCGCCTTGGGCATATCCACTCGCCGGGAAACTTTGCCAACTGAGTTGCCGCGCTGGCAAACTGGAAAAGTTGGGGCTCAGGCTCTCAGGTTTTTAGGTTCGGCCGAGAGCTCCTAAGCCCGACATCAGGTGCTGCTGCACTCGAGCGGATCAATAGTTTAGACCGGGCTAAACTCAGTTTCAGTCGATTAGTGATGCAAAAGTGTACACAAATATGGCCAAGAGTGGGAAACTTGAAAGCTGTTTTTTATAGCAATACTTTCTTATAAACTACGCTTATATATTTAGAGGCTATTGGCCAGATGTTTAGTAAATTACATCTAGCCCAGTTGAAAGATTTTACACAGAATTGGATTGGTCTAAAAAAAAATTTAAGAAATGGATTATTTCGATTATTATTTAGTCAGTTTCCATATTTGAATGCAAAGCAATTTAATTACTATTGTATTCGTAAGTTACGAGTCTTCTAATACTGGTCATTATTTGACAGGTACGGTTACCTCGAAAATCAGTTTCAAAAATGTGGGCTTACATTTCAATGACTCCAGGAATCAAAAATTATTTTATTATTTTAATAGATTTTGGAAAAATGGTTTTACTTGGTTAATTTATTGGCTAAAAATTGTTATCTCTCGAATTGCATTTATGCTATTGTTAATTAATAAATTCAATAGATCTGAAAGTGTATTTCGGATGTGGTTTTAGTCCGAAAGGGGTTGCGAATTTTGGTGTGTGTGAATAAACCACAATTTAAACCACAAAACAACAGATGAACAGTTAAAAAACATATATTCTTGTTTTCGATTTTTTGCCCTTTAAATAATGTTTTAAATCCAAATAAATGAAAATCAAAAAGGATAGAAGTTTTAGTACGTGTTTTCCCCCATAAAAAGGTTCAATGCAGCTTTATAAAGACTGTGTTCTTCTGTCCCGAAATATGTAGGGAATTCCGGTGCCTGCCACTGATTAGCCCCTCCAAAAATGATGGGGTGGCGCCTCGTCGCGGATCGCTCACCTCGGACGACGACCAATTTGGGGGACAAGCAGCGGAGATGACATTCACACTCACAGCCGCCAGTTAATTGGAATTTAGCACATGCCAAGGGTGTGTGAGTGTGGCTGCAAACGTGTGTGTGTGTGTGTGTGGGAGAGAGTGGGTGGGTGTTAAGCAATTATTTTTACAACGTTAATGAGCACAGCGAATTATTTTGGATGGGAAATGGGGCTCGAATTTCGGTTCGGGGCTGTGGGTTTTTCGGTTTTTGGGTTTTGGGGGCTTGAAAGGCCAAAGTGAGTGCCAAAAGTACGTGCACGTGTGGCAAATGTCACGCGACAAACCCGAAAAAAGAGGAAAAGAATCCAAGCAGCCAACCGAAAATTTCCCGAAAATTGTGTGCAACTTGAGGTTGAGTTTGTGAATTATGTAGATGGCAATTACCTCGAGATTTTTTGTTTTCCTTTCAAGGGGAAGAAGGGGAAGGGGTTTCGGATCTTGCATGTTTGATGGTTTTCGGGGGAGAACTCTTATTTGCCATCACCATTTCCTTAACTTTTGTCGCTTCCCTGTTGCCATTTACCTGTCTTTACCTTTAACCTGCTTGTCTTCCGGCCACGCCCCCTCCGCCTTTGTTTTCCGCAGTTATTGCCCACGAGTGTGTATCCCCCAACCAACCTCCAAAAGACACCCACACACACTCACACACTCAAGCGAAGAGCAGCTTGTTTGTTAGCAATTAAGTTGGAATTAGAACATTTTTAATAGCATACTTAAGGGCGCACCACACTGACATATTCTACTTCCGTTTCCTGTGGCCGGGAAGGAAATTGAATTTGTCTCGCCTCGAGTTGCAAAAGGTGCGCTTTGTGGCACGTGATGTTGCTCACTTCCTCATTGTCTTTGCTTATGGATATAAATATAAATAGTTGAGAGGATCTATCTGTTTTTATAATTTACAAGAAACACTTTTGTTGTAAAACTATTAAAACTCAGAGAACTTGGAGAAATCTTAACATTTAATAATAGTCTTTTTTGCTGAATTTGGGGTTGGTTAAGTTAAGTGGCAAAACTACAAATAAACTGTTAAAACTCACCAAAATAAACAGAAAAAGAATCGATTAGTTTATTTGATGGCTTTGAAACATTTCAAGTATTTGAAACCAAATTGAAAACCATGCCATTTGTATCAGTTTTTGTCCTGGATCAGTAATACATTTCGTTGTGCCTGGGAATTTTTAAGCCATAAGAAGTGTTTGCCGAGGTAGCAAAACCACAGGTCGTTTGATTTTTGGTCCAATACGTGTTTGCGACCACGGCTTAAATCGCCAGTCATTTTGGGGGAGACAAGGCGACTGCCTGGCAGTATTTGTATCCGCAACTGTTTCTGCTTCTGTTTCTCTTTCGGAGGTCCTGCGGCGCTTGTCTCCCGGCTACTTGCAACACAAACCCAACCGCACATCCGCCCACTCACGGGAGGCAAAGGGGGGCGTGGCCTGCGGTGGAGTGGGAGGTGCTAAAAACAATAAACAGCTTAAGCGCATTATGAGCGTTAAGCACACACATACACACATCAAACCATACACAAAAACACACACACACATGGACAGGCGAACACACACACATACACCACACATACACCGCACACACACCCACATGAAGTCGAGCAAGCGCCTTAATTAACATTTCCTCCCAGAAAGCCAGGACACCGCAAATGTATCTGTGCGCAAGGATATACATAATTGCAGACCAATTATGGAACAGTTTGTGGAGCGGGGGAGGGGGTGGGGAGGGTTATCTTGTCGGCCGATTTGGGTTATTTGTGGGAACATTAACCCCACTTCAGTCGCCTGTCACCACCCATTTTTATAATCCATCGCAAACATTAAAACCATTCGGCATTTTGTTTAAACAAAGCGCTGTTTCCATTGAATTCACCCAAAATAATATCTCGCATTTTCCGCGTAAAACGATTATAAATTTGTTTTTAATAATTTTTGTTTCAATTGGAGCGGGATAATTTCGACAACTAATTTCGGCTTCCACGGTTCGTGGCATTCAATTTGGACTAAAAACTTCCGATTGCACACAAATTATTATAAAATTCCTTCAATTAATTCCGAATTTGCATGCGTCCCGTTGCGATGCCAAATGTAATTAAATACGTTATTATATATTATGTCGGATTTGGGTTTAAAAACAACATCGAATTTAATGAACAGCTAATATGCTCAAACTCGTTGGGCGTGAATTCGCTTGGGGAGTTGACCAAAAAATAATATGGGCAAGGCATTGGGCTTTGGAACAGTCGTAGCTCGTGGGGAAAAATGGTATATTGTATTTGAAGTAAGGTATGTAACTGGTCCAAGAAAGAGTTTTCACGGCTGAATGGGGTAATTGGGTGATAGTGCACATTTCTTTTCAATCAGGATCAATAGAATTCTGCTTACTTTATTATAAACAGAAGATATAATAGATTGTTTACTGCGTGGTAACTGAAAGTGCTGAAACCCCTTTAACGATTTCCATTTTAAATATATTTGTTTCCAGCACTAAATATACTTTTCTTATTTACTTAATTGTATTAAACATTTATTTGTTAATATTTTTCATAATGAGAAGCTGTATATTTAGTTTTATAAAAAAAAAAAAACTATTTTGGCTTCCAATATTTTCTTTCTCATCAATTTTTGAAGTATACTTTGAAATAGATTATTATTTCCTTTTTTATTGTTTATTAAATGTTAAACAGTTAAATATTCAATAAACATAATTAATTGATTTCATCCAAAAACAAAATAGTTTTCAATTAATTTCAAACTTTCTAAGTACGTAGTTCAAAGGATGTTTCTATGATGCTTGTAAGATAATTTTCCATTAAATATTTTTATTTCTATATTTGTACTAACTAACCAACACTGTTGCCTATCGCTCCAATTAAAAAGGCTTTCCCATCGAATCGGAGGCATTCATCTGTGCGTTTGGCAGCTCCATTCTTCTGGTTCTGCGTGCGGTTGAATAATATTTTAATGGCAGCAATCAAAGTTTTAATTAAACGCTTAAAGAGTTGTAGTTGAGCGGCAAACACACATGTGTGTGCCGAGCACAAAAAATGGCAACCAGAAGGCAAAACTAAATCCAAACAAGAGTGCCTGCAAAAGTGGGCGAAAGGGGAGTATCAAGGAGGAAGAAGAAAAAGGGGGAAGGGGGAGGGAAAGGGGGAGGGGAAGTGGGAGGGCACGTCCAAGGCTAATGGAGCGCAGGCGACCCAAAACATAAACAAAAACTTTCGCAGCGATATTTTAATAGTTTTCCCGCCCGTCCACTGCCACTCCCCCTTCCCCTTCCCCTCCTCCTCCCACAACCCCCTCCCCCCATCCCCCACCCCCTTTGTCTGTGTTTTTAAGCCGGCGGTGACACTTAGCCAAATATAATACGGCTTTTATGTCAGCCACTTGCAGAAAATTGCTTCGGATCGTGGGAAGGGGATGGAAAGTGAGGGGAATGTGGCATTTTTGCGCCGCCACTTTTTCCACTTATTCCCCCTCCCCCATCCCCGCTCTACACTCTCAGCTGATTCTACTTTCTTTCACGTACTATGGCTTTCTTGTTTGGAGTTTGGCAGATCCGTTTTTGCTTTGGCTTTTGGCTCTGCGGAAGAGAGTGCACAGGGAGAAAATCTGCTTACTTATAAGCTTCCTAATTAATTGCATATTTGGTTTGCAAAGTTCTGTGAAGATCAATATCAATCAGGATTTAAGTTGCAAACTATTTGGAAATATTTCGAGACTAGTTTGTGTTACGAATTGAACTAAATACTTATTTTATTTATTTAAGAATTCATATTCTTACATTTACATATTTATAAATATTTTAGAAAAATACAGAAAATGGTGTAGTTGTTAGAATTGAATATGAAATCTTTGAAATAAATTGTATCAACTTTTACAGCTTAAGTATTAGGTACATCATCTACTCTCGTTCTAAAATAACAATAGCTGCAAAGTAATGAATGTTAAAAGACCTTAAATAAATGCAAGTCTTTAAGCAGAGGATTCAACATATTGCCATGCCTTGATTGTGCCAAACTGAGCTGGCTATCCGGCACTAATGTCCATTGTGATTCCGCCCCGTGTGCATGCAAAAGGCAATTTAGAAAGGTTTCAACCAGAGACTAGAAACTAGAGACAGAGACCGCCCACAAAACCATAGCAAAAACAATGGACGGCGGAGTGCACCGCTGTCAGTCTACTTAGTCTGGTTTAGGTGCAAAAGCAAAAGCAAATGAAAAGCAAGAGCTCTCTGCCCCGAATCCTTGTTTGGCGTGCCACGTCGTGTCGGGACAAAAGATATCCTGCCACCGCTGCAAGGAGGCGGGAAAGCGGGTCAAGGGTTGCGGAATGATCAAATCAGCGTGTTTATGACGTCCACAGTTCGAAGGACGAAGGACGAAAGATGCAGGATGAGGGAGGAGCGAAGAGAGATTAGACGCGTGGCTTAATTCCATTTTAACCAGATTGTTGCAAAGGCAACGTCAAAACTTATTTGCAAAGCTATGTATTTAAGAAAATGTATCTAAGCCAGTTGGATTACTGCATCAAGGCTTAAATATTTCATATATTTCTATGAAGCTGAATGTTCAGAAATCTATGAAATATTATTTCATACGAGTTACCAGTTTATTGGTGAGTGTAATCATATAAGTTTCGAACTGAGATGCAGCTTAAGTTTTTAGTTTTCTTGTTCACTTATTAATTAATTTACTCATTCTTAATAACTTCTTTTAAGAGATAGTGCACTTTTTATTGTTATTTGTTCTTTGAAAGCATTTAGATCTTTAACAAGATGGAGGAAAATATAAAAGGGTTTTATAAGTGCATTACTCATACGTACTGTTGTCGCTCATCATGTATTTTATTTACGAGCACTTGATGCTGACATTTTTAATGCGTCTGTCTGCTATTTTATTTATATTGTGAAACACATCTCGTAAACTCTCATTCGCTGAACATAAAAGAGGAACTCTGCTAATGCCACAGAGCAGGATTATTTGAACAGGAATATAAAAGATGCCACACGGACTGTCTTGTGTTCATCTTTTTAAGCCAACCAAGAAATATTTTTAAATCGATTTCAGTAAAATTTTCGGAACTAAAAGAAGTGTTAATCCGTAGGAAATCATAACAAGAATATTTATTTTGGTTAGAATCAGGAATCAGTAAAATATTGTAACTTTGTTTAGAGACGGCACTTTCGATTAGGCATCATTGTTTACGAATTCCCTCTCATTTTTAGCACATAAAATTCTCCCTGAAGGTACTTCTGATTAAGGATAGAGTACTGCCACTCACCTCGCAGGATCTTCTTGTCGTGGTGACCGTGGCATCTATATCCTTGGCAGCTGCGCTTCTGCTGCAAAGTGGGGCAGTGCTTGCCTCCATTTTGGGCAGCCTGCAGCACTTGGCGATTCCGCGTCATCATTCCGGTGCCGCAGCTCTTGTCGCAATCGCTCCAGGCCCCCCAATCGCCCACCTGGCAGTCCAGCACTGAAATCGCAAAGATAAGGTGGTTAAATACAGGTTTATGGACATTGAAACAAATTTCTAGTGGCAATCTTACAGCTATTATAACACATTTAAAATTAAATGTGAAAAATTAAAGTTTCTCGAAAGAAACACTTGAACAATCAAGGCTAAGATTAACAAATGTATAAAACAAATTAAGCTTTGCTTGATATTTCTTAACTATTCTGTACTATAAAAAAGACTTTTTCACAAAACCTTTTCGTGGACAAAGTATAAATTCCTCCCAAGAACCAATAAAGCAGGAAGGCGGCTTTTTGTGTTAACTTGGCCCAAGCCGACAATAGATAAGGACGCTGGCAAATTGCATTTGACACGCCGGCCACTAAACGCACTCGCCGGCCGCTCAAGTTTTTTAATTAAAAACGCTGCAGCAGGGAAAATTAATTAAAATCCATACGCCTTGATTGCGCTCCTCACTGCCCAAAGCCAAAGCCTTGGCTTTGTGCCTCTGAATTGGCCTCCGGTTCGCTGCTGTTGTTGGTGTTAATCAAACCCCCGAGTTCCAGTTCCTAGTCCCCATTCCCCAGATTCCATTCCCCAGATCCCAGATCCCATTCCCCAATTCCATTCCACAAAACCGAGGCGCTAATGAAGCCGCAGGAAGCTCTCCACAAACGAATTGAAATTCGCAACGGCTGCTTGTTCAGCTGTTGCATTGGGCAAAAAAAATCGTTATGGTAAACAATTCAGAGCAGGTCAAGCTCCATTCTGAAATACTCGCACACTTTCGCTGCAGAACAATAATTAATTACATTTGAATACGACTGTGTGTAAATAGGCAAATTCCAACCTGGAACTTGTGCATACATTATGCAGCGGCCTCATCTACGCTCCAAATGTACAAATATCCAGCAAAGAAGTGTCTTCTGCATTTGCTAATTGATTCGAAATGCGAAATGCGAAAACGAATCGTGTGCTCAAGGCAAACATGTATTTAATTATTGATTTGTCAGTTACAAGAGCACAATTGCACACGATGCATTTCACCGATTTATTTGCAGACTCTGCTCAACAAAGGGAATTTGCATTTTTAATTATTTTGTCAAGGCATTTTGTCCTTATTATTTCAGCGAGCAATAATGGCTGAAGGAATTTGACGATTCGGGAATTTGTTTTTTATTCAAACTTGTTTGTAAGTTTTTCATAAAAATCAAATACTGCCTAAACAAATTATTTCTCTTCCGTTAATAAATCTGCTTATTCATTTTTTGAGCACAATATTCAAGGAATGCTATTTTCATCCGATATTTATTAACTTATTGACCTTTGAACTGTTTATAATGATGGTTAGTCAATCGGGAATGTGAAAATTAAGATACCATAATTACCATATTCAATAATATTTCTTAATTCTAGAACGACTCTGTGTTAAAGTCGGAATAAGACATTGAAATTTGTAAAATAAAATAAAGAAATAGAAGAAGTATGGTCTTCTCCTAAACTTTCAAATTTTCTTTGGCAATTATGAAATTATCTTTGGATAGCGGGCTTTCCCAAAGACGAACTGATTGTACCGATCGCTAGACCGTCGGCCATATCCGGTGGGGAATTTCGCGCAGTGCAGAAAGGCAATTTATATTTTCATTTTTACATCGACTCCCGGCTGTCGTTGGCGCCCCTTCGCCATTGGCTTTTTATTGTGGCCGCGTGGAATTAGGAAAAGGAGGAAAAAGGAGGAAAACGGCGAGGAAAAGACGGCAAAGGATGAAGGCGACGTTGGCGCGAACAAAGCGCCAGGATAATGGAACTAAGTGCAGGAGCTGCCGCCGCTGGCTGGGGGAGGAATAAAACTAAAGTAGTTAAAATTATGATTGCATTGGCTCCAGCTCCACAGCTTCACAGCTCCTTCGCTCTCCCCTTTTTCCCACTTTCCCCGCTTTTCACACCATTTTCCCGCTTTTCCCCAATGGTTTCGCTGGGCGTTTAGCATATTGTGCGGAGCCCATGAATGCGAATGCAGGCGAAGTTTCAAGGGATAAAGGAGTTCCGACCACGCAGCCAGTGCAGCCAGGTCAGCTCTTAATCCGTAAATGTTTGCTTTTTCTCCCAAGAATTTGGCTTTTTTTGCAGAAGTTCACTGGGCTGGGTAGCGGATAAGCCCTGACTTTTTAAAATATATATGACTAGCCAACACAAGAAATGCCTAGTTCTGAAATAGTTGTCAATGTGTGTGTTGATCTATACAAATTTTTAAAATAGAAGTAGGTACGTAAACAGTTCCATACAGTTTATTTACTTTCTGAATTAAAATATAAGTTCTTTTATACAAAAGTGGCCATGAAAGGGTTTTAGGTATATATATAATATATATATTTTGATTTCCATGTATTCAAATACAAATATATGAGCTTATAAAGATATTAAGTGCTCTAGCAAACTTCTGTATTCAATTATAATTTGCTGGGTATAAATATTATCGTTGAACTCAAATTTTAGACTGTTGCAGCTGATAACCGATTGTAAAATTGGGAATTAGTATATTTAAAAATATGAAATTTTCGTATATCCACTATAGGGATAGGGATTAGCTGCTGAAGCTCATCTCTCCCGCCAAAATGAGCAGCTGTGTGGCGAGGCGAGGCTGACTTGGCTCGGAGTTCGGTGCTTGTTGTGGCAATAAATGGCATTATGCTGCTTAGCAATCATGCCACTTGATTGTTGTGGCGCTGCGACAGGGAGCTGAAAATTAGACGGCCAGCAAAAGGAGGAGCCGTGTTGCACGAGGTCCATTGCCTTCAGCTGCCAGCTGCCAGGATCTGGTTGCAACTGCAGCCTGCTCAGCTCTTAATACCTTCCTCCTGTCGTCTGCCGCCTTTTGCCTTCCACTTGCCACTCGCCACTCGCCACTTGCCACTTGGCTGCCATTTGGCCGCCCTCGCGAATTTGCCTGCCTCGCTGACCGGACTGGAAGTGATAATGAATACGGCCACGGATCCAAATGCGACTGCGACTGCAACTGCAACTGCGACTGCGAATGACGATGGCAGCTGCTCTTGATGGCCGGCGCCCTTTTCAGCGGGGCGTTAATGGTCGCCACTCTGATTTCATTTGCCGCCAGCGGTCATTTCAGTCAACATTTTCGCAGCGACGCTCTGGCACCAGATAACTGGCCAAGAAAAACCTCTTGCCTTCTGCCGACTTACTCTAGATTGTCTGTGAATAAAAGTTCGCTGATGAACTTCTTTCACTGGGTAATGTTTGCTTAGAAAGGTAGAAGACAGTAGTAACTAACACAGAGAAAATTGCAATCTGAATTCTGAGGTTGAAGTTTATAAGAGCTCAAGAAAAAAAAACAATTGAAAAAGTTAATAGAATAGAATAGAGTAGCCAGTATTAATTATTTATTTCATATTACTTTAAATAATAAAAAAAATCACATTTGACTGCCTTTTATTTGACTTGGGAGCAAGTTACAAATATTTGCAGGACATTAACAAATCGATTATGCCAATATCAGTGAAAAGATTTCAATGAGGAACAAGCTAATTGTGGACGTTACTTAATTATCCTAAAGATTTAAGCTGTTAAAAGTGGCGAATATTAATTTTGTAACTCATTTATTTATTGAGGCAGTATTAAGTTGATTGACGTTGATTGACATAACTAATTACAAACTTTAATTTTTATTAATTTGCAATTAAACTAAAAATAATAGCAGAAAACTTTCAAATTTTGTTTACTTTGTCAAATAATAAAAACATATTTTTAATTGTTCATAAGAGTAGTTCGGATTTGAGCAAATTGTTTGATGTACTAGCGATCAAACTGCTCTGTAGTTTTTTTTTTAAATGTTGGAAAACGTGCACAATTTGTTGGTAACGATTTAATGGCTTAATCCGAGCTCAGCTGCTGCCAAAGCGAATTGTCGAATTCAGGCGGTGCGTGGGGAGCGGGAGTCCTGCGGCAAGGACACAAATATTCCAGAATCGCAGCAGCTGCACTCGACTTGAGCACTTGTCAGTGCGATGTCGTCGTTGCCATTATTGCTGACTCCTGGTGTTGCTGATGTTGCTGTTGCTGGTGTTGCTGGTGTTGCTGGTGTTGCTGGTGTTGCTGTTGCTGTTGCTGTTGCTAGTGTTGCTGATGTTGCCTCCGTGCCGCAGGCGTTGCTGCGGGACTGCATTTCCTTGGGGCTCAAGTGGGCAACATAACTCACTGTCGCCGCTGTGGGAGTGGGATTGGACTGGCGAGTGGAACTGGGAGTGAGACTGGGGATGGGGAGGGGTCTTGGAGCGACGGGGATCCCCAGCTGACCAGCGACCCCCGAGGGGACAGCCAACACTCCCGGGGCAACGGAGAAGCGAACAAACAAACAAACTGCCAGCGATGCGACGGAGGCAGCGAAGGCAACTGGAAAATGTTTTGGGCCACGAACTGGGCCAGCAAGCTGGCCAAAACAGCACAGCACATCGGGCCATGGTTATTTGTGGTCAGCGAAGTAAGACAAATGGCGTCAAATGCTGCTGCCATTGTGCAAAGTGCACTTGCAGAAGGTTAGGATGCCAAAGTGTCCACAAAATGTGGGTAATATCAAGTGAATATAAAGAAACGAATACAGTTTTCGGAAAAGTAACACAATGATTTTATAAGCCAAGCCCAAGCTATTTAATATATATACAGTGTATAGTTTATTGACTTAATATACCACAAGTAAATTAGTTGAAAAGGCTTTGCACACATTAATTTGTGTTGTTCACTAAACAAAATTTAAGCAAAGGAGAGCTAACAAAATGATTTGAATATAACATTAGCTGTTTATTTTTTTGTTTGTTAAACAAAGCAAAACAGCATCAAATAAAATAAAATAAGAAGGGCATTTTTGAAAGGCTCTTGTACTTTGAGCCATCATTTGGTTCTATTTCGGGATTCATTTGATCCCAAGAATCGTTTGATACTTGAGACCCACAAGTGGTTATCCACTTGTGGCCAACGAAGTGTTTGAGCCCAAAATCGCTTTGAAT